ACTGACGGAATTTATGAAGGTAAAGTCCACAGTCACACACTGTGTTATTTTAGTTCCGTTTGAAACAATATTTGATCATTTCTTGTACTGCACAGGTATTGCAATTGGAGGGGATGTGTTTCCGGGTTCAACTCTTTCTGATCACATTTTGCGGTTTAACAACATTCCACAGGTATTCTGACTGATATATCCTCAAAATATCTTTCAATTTAGCTAGTCATCTCCGTTGGCCATTCAAGTCATGAATTTTAGGGACTTGTTCTAACATTTTTAATCAAGTTAGTATCTTGTTGCCTGTTTCTGCATTTTGTCATTTGCATTCAACGTGTTTTTTTCTCGTTGGCATATTCTTAGGTTAAAATGATGGTTGTGCTTGGAGAACTTGGTGGCCGAGATGAGTATTCTTTGGTTGAAGCCTTGAAACAAGGAAAAGTTAACAAACCAGTGGTTGCCTGGGTTAGCGGCACTTGTGCCACATTGTTTAAATCTGAAGTTCAATTTGGTCATGCTGTAAGTTCATACTTGAGTTACTCCGCTTAATTGTATTGTTGTTGTATGATATACTTGGCTAACACATTATTTTCTCCTTTGCCTTCACTATAGGGAGCAAAAAGTGGCGGTGAGATGGAGTCTGCACAAGCAAAAAATCAAGCTTTAAGGGATGCGGGAGCTATTGTTCCTACATCATACGAGGCCCTTGAAGCTGCCATTGCGAAAACATTTGAAAAATTGGTAAATTTGCACTACGACTTTCTTCTATGATATCAAGGGGCTATTTTCGATCACAGTGTCCTCATGTTTCAAGGGGAGGGATAAATGCTCCTTGATTTTATTCGTTGCAATTACCATGTAATTTGTTTGACCATCTAATTTACTCGATAGGTTGGAGACGGAAAAGTTACCCCAGTAAAGGAAGTGAAGCCTCCACAAATTCCTGAGGATCTTAGCTCAGCAATTAAGAGTGGGAAAGTTCGGGCCCCAACCCACATTATTTCCACCATCTCTGATGACAGAGGTATGCATGCTTTGAACCTAATGACCTGATTTTCTTTGAGAATAACTGTAGTGTTTGATATGTTACACTTCAGATTTTAGTTACTAACTTTTCAAACAAAAGGTGAGGAGCCAAGCTATGCTGGAATTCCAATGTCTTCAATTGTTGAGCAAGGCTATGGTGTTGGGGATGTTATCTCACTATTATGGTTCAAACGCAGCCTTCCTCGATACTGTACCCATTTCATCGAGGTTTATAGCTCATACTATGAAACTGATTTTCTATTTCGGTTTAGTTTTTTAGTTTCAGAGAGGCGGTTTTGAATGACTTTCTAAATACTTGGAAAAGGAACTTTAAGAACTTGAAAAACCATTTCAACACCACCCTTTTAAGTTTCTAGCTAATTTTCTCATAGCCCAGTTCTTGTACGATTCCTCTTCACAACCTAAGAAAAAGTAGTGAGGGGAGGAAGCTTGAAACTGTACAAGGCCAATCAAATTCCATATTCTTTGATTTCTGGCTTTCCACTTTCATGAACACTCTTGTGAAAGTTTAAATGACAGTCTTGAGTTGGGGTTGTAAACATTTCATGATCTCTTCAGATATGTATTATGCTCTGTGCGGACCATGGTCCTTGTGTATCTGGAGCGCACAACACTATTGTAACAGCAAGGGCTGGAAAAGACCTCGTGTCCAGCCTTGTCTCAGGTATGTGGTAACTGTCATTTCATTTCCCTTCCACTGTAATTTGGATTTTCTTCACACGGTATGTTTTTTTAATTAAATGAGTCTGGTTTTTGCCTCATAACTTACTGAAATAGGCTTGCTTACTATCGGCCCCCGATTTGGTGGTGCCATTGATGACGCTGCTCGGTACTTCAAGGATGCTTATGACAGAGTAAGAATTTATCTGTTGCTGAAACTCTGAATTCACATGGTATCTTAGAATCTATGGTCGGTAAGTTTCTATGATTTTTCCGGCCTTCTTGCAGGGTCTCACGCCTTACGAGTTTGTCGAAAGCATGAAAAAGAAAGGCATTCGGGTGCCTGGAATTGGTCACAGGTATGCACACTTGTAGTTTCTTAGTTCTATTTTAAAAACTTATCTTTGCTTCAGTGTATATTTTTTATACCAAAAAGACAAATCGAAAATTTAAATGCAAAAACAATGAAGTAAATTTATAATCTTTGTTGTTTCTGGGATTGGTTTGGTTGTAAAATAAAGGATCAAGAGAGGCGACAACAGAGATAAGAGAGTGGAGCTGCTACAGCGGTTTGCACGAACACATTTTCCATCAGTGAAGTACATGGAATACGCTGTGGAGGTTGAAAATTACACACTCTCAAAGGCAAACAACTTGGTTCTTAACGTAGATGGTGCAATTGGGTCTCTTTTCTTGGATCTTCTTGCCGGCAGTGGAATGTTCAGCAAACAAGAGATTGATGAGATCGTCCAGATTGGCTATTTGAATGGTCTCTTTGTGCTCGCTCGCTCCATTGGTCTCATCGGGTAAGCAAAATAGATGCCAATTCTAATAAATTCTTCAAATTTTCAACTTTTCAACTTTTAATTGTATCTCTAAATAATTCAATTGATGTTTTTACAGACATACATTTGATCAGAAGAGACTGAAACAGCCTCTATACCGCCATCCTTGGGAAGACGTCCTTTACACCAAATGAAAAGCTTTACAAATAAAATAGTAAGTAAGAGCAACGAGCATTTTCAACTACATTTACCTTTAGTTTCTGTAAAATTATTACTGGGACTGCTGTTTTTTATTGTTTTCTTTTTTCCTCCTTTCTTCTCCTCTCTCCCTCTTTCCCCCACACCCTTACATTTAGCATCTGCATATCTATATTGCCATCCTTAGGAAGACGTCCTTTACACCAAATTATTACTGGGACTACATTTACATTTAGCATCTGCATATATTCTGTTGAAACGAGGCAACCTTGTCTAAACGAGCACATGCTGCATGCTAAATCCAAGAATTTAATGGATAGATTACAGTATATTTCATCTTACTTTTCTCCCAGGTGAGCAACACAGGGGACTAATATTACAGGAACCTTGGGATTAATTGTGTTTCATTGTTCCATTTTATTGCCTTTTTTTTTTTTTTTTT